ATCATGTTTCAACAGAAGTCAAATCTATGCGTTTGGATCCATTTTGAATCTTCTCCAGTTGTCCTGGACGTAGCCGCCCTGCTTGCCATTCTCTCCGCCGGTGTTGCATTCGTCTGTGGATCGTCGCAGCATCCTTCCGCAGTCCTTCCCGTTCATTTTGAACGAGCATCCCTCGAAAGCCTCTGCAGAGATGTTGGTGTGGCCAGCTGCCCCGAAGTCGTAGCGCCCCTCCAGCTTACGGCCATTGGCAAGAGTCTGATCGTTGTATCGGGAGCAGAATAAGTTGATCGCAGTGATGATCTGTGTTGGCCCCAGTTAAATCAGCAAGCTTGGACTTCCATGCAGGGACTTCAGATCAATGGACACATTAAAAGAATGCAATAGAGTCTCATCGAACGATTCTAAGATTCAAAATGTGAAGACGAATGGCGAAGGAGGAGGAGGATTCTCACCCTTGCTCAGGTGAACTTTCTCCCGGAGTTGTAGCATGTAACCCGCTCGCCCAATGTGCGAGAGGGAGCCAGGAGGCTGCCACTAGAGTGGCCAGCAAAAATGCGAAGAGAACAACACGAAAGTCTGAAAGTAGATGGAGAGATGAGCTGCGAGTGGCCCTGAGAGCTGTGAATGTGATTTATAGAAGCGGCCTTGTGTTTATAAAGGAATTGGGCTTCTCACCCAATGTAGACCTGGCTCTTGCGGCATCGATTCTTACAAAAGAACTTGAAGGACCAGCCGTCGAGCTGACTAGATAATGGAAAGGCATGAAACTAGTTTATGTTGAATCAGGACTTCAATTGACTCAAGAAAGGAGTACGTTCTGATTTTTCATTAAAGTTCTCAACATGCTAACAATTTCCTTTGATCCTATTTATTACTTTCCATGGAGCCTGGTATGATACTGAATATGATATTTGATTTATTACGTTGGGAAGTACATACAACTTCTAGTCCTCACGTTTCCCTAAGAAAAGAAATTAGAATCTGCAGAAACTCTCTGGATACAATCACACACAAATCCAGGTTTGATTAACATGTTGCTAAATATTTACTGAAATGTCTACTGCTTACGTTTTCCCTGTGTAAGTCGATTGCGTCAGAGACGCATATGTAGATATTTTGATACTACATGTGCGTTCATATATGTTATAATATCTCTGCGTCCAGGAGCGAGAATTGCCCTCTATCTGATAGAAGTAAGACCCCCATGGTCAAGCCGTTCTTGTAAACATGTGTTCCATCACTTAATAAGAAGTTGGAGACCGTGGTGGTTGTATTATTGATTAAGGTTAATTAAAAATATTCGCATACATTTAAAGGGTGGAATCCCTCCATGAACATGCGTGGATCGTGGGTACGGGTATAAAGAGTAGAAGTGCGCAGTATGGATATGGGTAGAAGAATATGGGTACGTGGAGTCGATTTATTTGCCCGAGATAAGAAAGAGGAATTAAAGAAAGGGAAGAGAGAATCCTACATTTTATTACTATATCCTACGACTCCTCCACAAAAGGTCTCCTACTTCTCTTGATGTTCATAGGAATATACTAGTATGAGTATAGGGTATGGAGCCTCTCGGGAGGCTCGACTTCCTCGTCGACCTCTCGACGGTGTAGCCCGGCACCGTCGCGTTCCTCAACAACTCCGGCAACGCACCGTACACCGGCGGGTACCCGGCCGTCGGCGGAACCACGGCGATGCTGAAATTCAACATGGTAGCGGCGCCTGAGAACACGACACTTCCGCAGTTCGAGCTGCCGGCGTCAAAAGTGTTGGGCCCGTGGGTCCCAACACTTGCGGCACGGACGGCCCCACCGTGAGGAGGATGACGCTGACGGAGTACGACGACGCAACGAGAACCCGACCGGCTCGCTGCTGAACGGGCTGAGGTGGAGGGATCCGCTGACGGAGATGGCTGAAGAAGATTTTTATATATATAAAGTAAAACCGGTAATCCTTTCACAAGTCAATATGGCCGAGTTGGTCTAAGGCGCCAGTTTCAGGTACTGGTCCGAGAGGGCGTGGGTTCGAATCCCACTGTTGACATACCTTTTGGCTTTTGAATTGAGCGCCTTGGAGTCTCCATGCGAAAAGTATGAATTGGAATTTCTTTGTCTTCAACTCAAATATTGGGTCCAGTTAGATTTTTTCTTACCAGACCATTTTCGAACATGATTAGATTCAAGAACAATTGTTGCTGGGGCTAGGCCCGATACTGACCTTCGATTTCATCCCTTTCCCACTTGATAGGTCTTCCTACCTTTTTACCTATAAGATGGGTCCAATATTTTCTATACACTTGGCCTTATATGATGGGTCTCACTTCAAGCTTTTCACCTCTTTTGCTTATACTCCAGTCGTTAATTCATTCGTAGTCTATTTCCTTGTTCAGGGAGTAGGGAATATATACCGTTCCAAGAAATCATGAGGTAGAATTCAGAAATTTGTATTCCAAAAACAGAAACTCCAAATACATTCTGCAATTTATCAGAACATCTAATGCAATGTAAGGTGATCATCACTGATGTTAACCCCCAATGAGATGAGAAGCTGAGAAAGAGTACTACATTACATGAATGGCATGCTTCTAAACCCACATGCATGCAAACAATATACAAACCATCAACCAGCCGCTATTACACAATATCTAAGTGCTAACACAACACATAGTGTTATAATCCCTAGAAGTTATACTCAAGTTTTCAACCTAATTGGTACTCTATCTCCGTTCTACTTTGAGAGAACCTTGAAAACAAAAGACACCCGAAAACGGCTTACATTCAACAGACCTTCAAAAAAGCTTTTCTTTTACCAAGGATTAACGATACCTTAAGTTATTTTCTGAAAGCGTAACGAAGAGATTTGCTAAGGACTTTTAAACTTTGAAGACTAGCTCATGGAAGCGTGAAGTCTTATGCAGAGGTCACTCGAAGTATAAGCATGCAAGCCAAGCACGAAGTACTTCATCTCGAGGGACAGGGTGTAACCAAGGTCGCCGATCGGACAGCAGGTTTTTGAGATCTGTGAACTGAACTTCAAGTCTCTTGTTACGTACCAGATAATATCAATAAAGTAAAGCAAATATATCGTAAATTTCGCGAGAAAGTAAATATCAAAATCTTGAGGTATCCCAAGATACGATTGTGGTAGAACCAGCGCCTTAAGCTCTCACGAAAGCTACATTGAATAGATTATATTTTACAGAAGAAAAAATCAGAGTTAATTAGAAGAAATTTAAAAGTATATGTTACTGAACATAAGATATCTATACTCTCTAGTTCGAATTAAACACCAACTACCGTTGTTATTTTTTTATATATTACGATATTGTGAATTGATATAATTAAAGTAGAAGTGAAACAGTAAAGTCATACTTCCCTCCATCAATATAATAACATTATAAAATCTTATATTGATGGAATCTTATCTGATATATAGGAATCTCATCTTTCTCATATTGGTTGGATACTCTGTATTGCCTTCGTAACAAAGACAGGCTAGGTATTTTTCTTTGTCATGACGGATCGAAGGTGACTACTGGCTATTCCCACATAATTTCCACGCTAAAGAGCCGCAAAGTGACATTGGAGTCCTGAACGGTGAATGACATATATTCTATACAAAGCTTTTGCTTTCCCATGCAGTCTGTGTTTGCTATGGCATTAAAATGTGTCTTGAACAAACAAAGATTTCTATTGTGCTCAAATTCTTTATGTCATTATTATTAATCCTAATCGTCACAAAATGTTGAAAAAGTTGATTACGCATGATCCGTAGCGAACAAGTTATTATAGGACAGTAAAGTGATTTTAATTCAAACATATTTTTACTTCTGGTTCAAGAGTAGTATGTCATTATTACAAGTATAGATCTGACATGTGGCACATTAATGGAAAGTTCGTTCCTCATGATAATATGATAGTCAATATTTAATAAAGCATAAAGATTGGATTGATAAATCAAACGAATATTGAGCCACGTACGATATGACATTAGAAAGTGTATAGCTTGAACATTAATTTACATTTGATTTCAAATTCACTATGCAATTATTATGATAATAGCCGTGGCATAAGTCACATTTTGAAAAATCCATTCCTCGTCATATGCAAGATGTGGTGTTTGATACTAAATTACAGTAGATTTATATCAGGTAAAGATTTATATTTAGTATCAGTAATATTATTTCTTTAAATCGCAGAATTTACATTTGGTTTAATTCTTAGAAGTTGATTATGTATGATGGATGAGAAGTTGTGTCTGATATAAGTTTAGAATGTGTATTCTTCAAATCAAAAAGTACATTTAATCCAAAAGTATCATGTTTATATTACACAGTTCTTATGCTACGCATTTTGAAAACACGATTACTCTCAATCAATGAGATTTTGTATTTGATATGCCAGTAGAGTGAACATTTGATTTTGTAAAAAATGAGAATATGTCTGTATTGAGACTTGTACTTGAAAAATGTAGTAATCATGTTAAATCATAATGTGTATTTGATTTGCTATCAAAGTGTATATATGCCAAAATTTACTTTTAAATAAAAGGATCTCGTTTCGTAAAAGTCATAAATGAAAGTTTTCAAGATTTCTTAATGCACCAACTATGTATTGTAACATTCGATATAATACTAAAAGCCTAAATTTTAGAAATGAATGTTCTCTTGATTTCAAATTATGGTTAAAAATATCGCAAGTGCTCAAATTTTTAAAGGTTAATTGCACATGGTAATGAAGAAATCATTTTAATATAAATGAGTTATTTTTATAATGAAATAATATATTTTTATTTTTATTATAATTCATGACATGTATATAATATAATTCTAATCTAACCTGAATGAATTTTTCTATGATAAAGAAAAATAAAATATATCAGAAAATAAAAAAAGGATACGGAAATAATTAAGATATTTTTTAAATTTAAATGATACTTTTTAGATTAAAAATGACTATTTTTTATGACTTCACAAAATTAATATGCATACCGTTGTGCTGCTATTGGTACACGATGAACAGGATGCTATCGTTTATGTAAAAGTTGATGGGGATATTCGGATAATTTGTGGTATTTATAAAACCACTAGAGCCTGGATAGCTTTATAAACCCGCTGTTTACATGCTTGAGCAAAGAGCTCGAGGAACGAAGAAGCTCACCTTTGGCATGTGAGAAAGCCCAAGGACATCTGAGGGAATCAGCAGAACGAGGGCAGAAAGTTGGAGCGCAACGCGTACATTCCAGTCTCTCTGCAATTGCCAGAACCTGACGCGTTGAAGATCATGCGAAATATGGAGCTCACTGCACGCTGGACTGGCATGGGCAGGGTGTTTTCACTGCTGGTGCTTGTCGCAAATCTGGCCTTTTCGCAAGCCTACAAGATCGATCTTCACACTCATATCCTCCCTCCATTCTACCTCGACTGGCTTACAGAACAAGGCTATGGTCTCGTAAATCCTCCAGCATGGAGCCCGTCGCTGCACTTAGCATACATGGAGTCGATAGGAACGGCGACATCTGTGGTTTCCATCGCACCTCCCGGAGTCGGTCCATTCAACAATAGCTCCTCAGCAACTACTCGAGCTATAGCACGGAAGCTTAATCAATATTCGCACGACGAGCTGGCGAAAGCATACCCTGGGAAATTCCAGTTCTGGGCGACTGTGACTCTGCCAGATGTGGAAGGATCCATCGCGGAAGCCAAATACGCATTGGAGGTGCTCAATGCGACCGGAATTTTTCTTGAATCTAACAAATTGGGAATATATCTGGGCGATCCTGCATTCGATTCTTTCTTCCAGTTTCTCAACGACGTGCACGCTCTGGTCTTCATCCACCCCACCAACGTCCCGAATGGTATCACCACCTATCCAGCAACCAAGTCTTTCATGAAATTGCTCTGAATTCAGCAGATCATGGTCAAATTGTCCCAAGGATTCTAATGTTTAGCGTCTTCGCTCTTTGAGTACATCTGAATTCCAGAATCGCAGCATGATGGGCTCCGAAAAGTACTGTCGTCCTTTTAATCATATACTGACTTCTTCATGCAGTACAAGCTCTTCCGGGACTAGCGCCAAATGTGTTGGACTTCACATTGGACATCACACGCGCAGCCGTCAATTTGGTCTTCACGAACACAACTCAGAAGTATCCCAATGTCACTTACATCTTGGCAAACGCGGGAGGCTCCGTAACCCTCCTTGCTTACAGAGCTGCTCTGAGTTCACGGTACTCTCTGCCTGTGATGCTCGAGGAGCTAAAAAAGTTCTATTACGACACCACGTTTTCCAGCACCCCATCCGCGATGCCTACCATTCTGCAGTTCGCAACTCCGGACCGCATGACTTTCGGAAGCGATTGGCCGCAAGGACAGGATTTTGGGACGCCATTCTACACGCAAACAATAGAGGAGTATCCCTTGGACCAAAGTGATAGAGAGAAGATCCTTAGAGCCAACGCTGAAGGCCTCTTTAGACGAAACTCTTGACGATACAATGCGTTTCAGCGCCCTACGTTTTAGACTTCTCTGTCTGCCTTCGCTGGACATTTATACGGAGCTTCCCATGATTTTGGTTGAGATTTTACCGGGATTGTTCAGTTTACATTTATGATCGACGAGGATTCGGGTCATTGAAAGAAAGGTCCGTGGAAGCTACGAGTGAATAGGGTCAGTTCTCCAGCTCTGCATTTTCAGAACAACAGACAGAGTAGTTGATGGAGCAGGTTATAAGCAAGGTGCGATGAATGAGGAAAGCGAAATTTTTAGCGTTTAGTCCGAGTCGAAAGAAGATAGAGTTCTCCCGTTCTGTGTCGAATCTGGGCATGCGCAGTCGCATGTGCACAGGAGAACAAGAGAGCGTAGTGAAAAACAAGCGGGAAAATTTCCCACTGTCATGCTTTGCGATTCAGTGTATCCGGACCAATTTTGGGAGAATCAATAGATTTGAAGCAGTAACGAAAATCTCCAGTGTAGGCAGTTGGCGCACGGCTTCAACTCTGATATGGATTAAGTCACAGTGAAGTTCTCTGGTCCACTTCCCGGCAGGGCAACTCTATCCTTGTCAGACACGTCTGAGAATTCTTGTGGTTTATACGCATACCATCGTCAGCGTCACCCAGAAGTAATCATCGAGGAGAGGAAGTAGAGATTAGCAACGATGGACCTTGTTCATCCCACCATTCAATTACATGGAGGGTTCTGCGTCCTTTGCTCTTGGTGACTCATCTTACCTTGCGGGGAATTTTTTCACATGTGATTGGCTCACACATACTTCATTTTGAGCACCTTCCATGCTTCATGCTGGATTTACGACAAATGAATTTTTTGTATCACATCCCACGCTCCGTACATTAATGTGGCCATCTGGCATTGGCGTGATCATGTTTAATTTTATTCCTTATACATAAACTGTTATAATTGAGCGTAATGTTTATGTGGCTCATGAAAATGCGACACCCACTGCAGACGATACGTCTCGAGGTGGACGTGGTCGCCGTGATCACATTCGTCGACGATGGTCTTGAGCGGCTCCACGCTCTCGTACCTGTGGCCGGCAAGCCGCAGTGGGAGGGTTGGGGGCGCTCGCTGGCTGCCTGGCCACCACCGCCGACAGATGCCGGTGGTCTGGCATAGCAGCAGATCCGACGGATGCCTTTTCGTGCTGACTCCCGACTGGCATCGGTCGTCCCGAGGTGAAGCTTACTCCTCAGATAGCTGCTGCTGTACAGGGAGGGGACGCGATTTCACGGAGACGACGAGCATCTCGGGTCGTGCCATGGGGACATCTCGCGTCTTCGTCGTAGCCATTTCGATTTGCGCGCTAAAGCCAGTGCACGGAATAAAAGTGAGGCCCGTTCAGCGACATTCCGAGGATGGCCGAACACGTTCGTGAGCTTTGAGAATGGTGGTCGTGGAGCTCTCGACGGAGGCGCATGTTACATAGGGTACCGGGCATGGGGGAGGGGCAGGGGGGGCACGAAAATCCTGCCGTGCCCCCCCTCTGATTGTTGAATATAAACTGAATACAAAGAGTGTCAAATTATATTGTATCACTCGGCATTTTGTAAGGTTCTTGACATCTCATGATTGCATCAACTTTGTTTAAATATGGTGTTCACAAATTTTGAAAGTAAGTTATTTTTTACTCAAAGAAATAAAAAAATTTTGTATGTGTATCGAACATCAAACGTTTTTATGATGCAAAGGATATGAACAATCCAGATTTTAGTTTATATATATAACAAAATTAATATCGTTATGAAACTAAAGTGAAATATAAGCTTATATGATTTTCCAAACAAACGAGATGATTAATCCAATTGTGAACAAAAATTAGTATTTCAGTGTAGATGGATACATAAATGATAACTAAAGCTCTAAATTAATCAAGCATTTGTTTTTTTACCGTATGATCTGAGAAATGCAACTATATTTTTGATTTGAAGAATATGGATATAACACAAAAACAGAACCTAAAAAAAAAAAGAGCAGGCTGGATGGATTCCTTCATTAAAAAACTCAGCTGGGAATAATATTTTCCATATGTAAAAGAGACAACTTTTTTTGGCATATATTATGAAACACCAACTCATTTTTATCAATGATGCATCTCAAGATAAGTAATATCATATGTTACTCTTGTCATCAAATTCCAAATCTTAGTGATTTGACTCTGAAGCTGCGCCCCCATGCCCGGGGGGCACGGCGGAGGTGGGGGGGCATGCCCTTTCCCTAGGGCGTGCCCGGCACCCTACGCATGTAGTGACTTTCACTTCGCCCAGCTCCTGCCGCCCTTGAGGATGGCCTCGAGGGCGAAGATCCCCAAGCTCAGGACGCAAACGCCCTGCGATATAAGCTGCCTGAACGAGCCTATCAGCACTCGCTTAAAAATCTAGAATTGAAAAGATTGTTCTTGAAGAGGGTGCAAAGTTTGGAAGTGCCACACTCCGCTATCATCTACAGCTGAAAATCGATTTACCGTATAGTGGCTAACAACGGAGCAATTCGGTTTTCAATGCGGTTGCAGAGTGGTACAAATGAAGCTGGAGTAGTAAAATCCATTGACAAGACAAGCGCAGACTCCTGTCTTTTACTAACATCAAAGGCTTGACCGACACCTTGTACATAAAGCAACAAATGCAAAGGCTCTTAAAGAAAATGAAACAATTTACAGTTGTCCTGTTACAGGTTCCGCATCGACAATGTCACCTGTTTTATACAATACCTGATCGAGGAACTTTTTAAAAATTTCCTCATTCGGAATCTGTTCGCCCATCGACTGCTTACGAGATGTCCAAAAAACTTCACGTGCGGTGACTTAGCTGCAGAATTGAGCAGGGACTGGACCCTTAACGTACGAAGTTGATGACGCAGTCCAGTAGAACACAGGGAACGGACTGCGCGTCCATCGCGGGGAGTCAAATCCATCTACCCTTCTCTTGCTCCACCTTGAAGTGTCGGTTTCCACGAAGTTGTTCTTGTACCCGATGCTTCCATCTTTCTCGAAGTAGGCTGCGTGAGGCATTCGCTCGCCATCGAACGAGCTGTACAGAATCTTTCTATTCCGGAGCGGCATATTTAAGTTCTAGTGGCACCGAACTTTTCGGTTGGGCCTTGCAATCATTCCGGTGACTGAACCGGTCGAATCCGGGATGAACAATCCAAGCCTTGAAATTTCTTCTGAGCGTCAAATTTATAAGATGATGGCTGGACTTCATATATTCAACCAAAAGTGAAACATAATTTATTATAAATTCATGATGTGTAAAATTACACAAATCAAGCTATACATTACTTAAAATTCCAAATAGATAAATATTCAGCAAACAAAAACAAGATATACATGAATTCATTATAATTTTCTGATTCATTCAAAATAGCAAAAAAGTTTAAAATTGAAGAAAGTTATGAAAAAAATCAAAATTTGTTGCTAATCATGAGATTGAAATGTAGATTTGATTGAGTGAATAGAAGAAATAAAAATTTTATTGGTAGCTAAGTGCAGAAGATCTATTGGAGCTCACCGTTCACAAACTCAAATCGATTCTGATTGTAACATAAAATTATGTCAAAAAATTATTGAACCCAAGTATTTTAAATTACTCCAAAATTTTATCCATAATATCTTTTAATCCCATGAGATAAATAGAAAAAACTTTCAATTTTGGGATGTAATATGGAGAAAATTTCTTACTTGCAAATGAATTTTGAGAGTGATAGAGAATTTTGTTAGATTTATGAAAGATATTGAGTAAAAAATTTAGCTACAAATTTTTTCCCAATGAAAAAAAATATGCGTGTTCTTATAGGATTTTCATCCGAGTAACATGTCTAATTTTTTTTGCCTCATATTTACTTATTTCAATGCATTTCAATTTGTATGTTCATCAAAAAGTTGAAAGATTCTCATTTGAAATGTTACATCCTACAAAATACATTGATACCAAAGTATGCAATAGCTTTACAACTTCGAGATGAGTAAATAATGTGCAAGATATTGAGAGTATTAAATCATCTATTTGCAAAAGAAAATCAATACAGGTTTTCATCGTTTATATAGATTTTGTTGATAGACTTGTTTGTTTATATATATATATATATATATATATATATATATATACATGAGACATGCATTGTTATTAAACAGCAATATGGACAATTTCATCTCGTATGTGATTAAGTAAACAAGTATCAAACTTCAAGACTTGAAAATATTCACAAAAAATATTTTAAGTGAATAAAATGACAAAAAACAAGAATTTATTGAAAAGTTTCATTTATTTTCTCTTTTCCATGATAAGAGAAATTTGATTACAGGAAGCTAGTGACAATCATTCGAAAGAAGAAATAGATTTACTAATAAAGGAGAAAATTATTGAGCTATGCTAATGTCGTGGGCTCCGTGAACAAAATTACTATATCCTGATCTAGGATAAATATACGTGTTATGTCAATGTATATGGTGAAGCAAAGACATATGTATATTGCAGATATGAAGGGCGTGTTTTACTACAAAAAGTGGACAAAGAATGTTTTCATAGAATTTATCAAAATATAAGTTTCAAAATTGTTGTTTGTATATTTATATGACTTGCTGATGGCCAAGAACTCAACTCACCGATGTCGCACGTTAGAATGAAAATCAGCCATAGCCCACTGTTTGTGCTACGACGTGAGATTTCTTTTGACAGAATTTGGTGACTTTCTCTTGTATAGAGGCCAAATGTGTGACACTTGGTACGTATTCTACCAAGTCATTATGTTTAGTGTTACCACTAGAGCATTTTAAGTTTGTCGATATTTCGGTCATTCGGGAAGTGGTTGATACTCGTTGTTCTTTTCTTGTGTACAAATATAGAGTTTTCTGAAAGAAATTATCAGATTCATTGATTTATCATTGAAGAAATGCTTCAGTTAGGAAGTTTACGAAGACGAAATCTTTCCCTGTCGCAGACATGGCAGCTGGGCAACAACTAAACGGTAACTGCCAAAACTTAGTGATCATTTTTATCCTCTGATAGGAACGTGCTCCTGGATGGTGGAATGTTGGTTGGTGACTGCGAGTGTTGGCACTGTACGTTAAAGGGGGTTGTTTGTTCACCAGCAAGTATCAGAAATGAGGTTGCAGATCGTGCGCTTATCTGCTCCTCCGTGTACTGTACAAGAATTTTTCCCCTTTAGTATCCATTTTTATTTTCTACACTAATTACATTACAATCAAGTACATTATCGCATGTTATATCGTGTGCGAATCATAACTGAAAATTCTCGTTCGGCTGAAAGAGTCAATGCATGGAGAGAAAGCCTTTACACTTGAAACTGTCCAGAGAAACTCAGGTGCAGACGAAGGGGCGAGGTTCCAGCAGTACACAATGGTATTGCCGTCTGCTCAAGGCCTGCGTGCTCTCTCTATAAAGATGGCATAGACCTTTTCCTCAAGACCTTCAACACGTTTCAGCAGTCAGATGTCCAGAATACCTGACAAGTAATAAGACCCTGCTTATCAGAATGGATTTACGCTTGCTTTAGTATTGACAACAGGGTTTCATTTCTAGGCTACCGTTCTGCGAAACTGCTAACTCTGCATCAACGCACTAAATCAGCGTCATAATTCATGTAAGAAGCAATCATGTCACGGCCTGAATGTCAGAATTTGGGAGCGTTGTTGTACTCTACACCATTGCCTATATTTCGCTAAAGTGACCTTGTCAACCAAACAGATGCAATAAACTCATGGGCTCTGTAAGGCCTACGCTGTAATCAAATCTAGTATATTGGCTAGCCCTGATGATTGTAGTACGAATATGTCAAGAGCCCATACCAGGGACAACGACAAAAAGTGTCCTACTGTGATTCAAAACCTACAGAGGAAAAGGAGCCACTACCCGATGCTCGGAGTGGGTGTTGAGCTGGCCATGCGAGCACTACTTTAGGCCAGTGGAAGACGACGCTCGGGAGTGCTACTACGCATGCGACCATAACTACCCCGGGGCTCACTGCTAGCCTGGACTTCGAAAACTGGTGCCGCTGGCACCGGCACATCCAGCAAAATTCCAAGGAACATCACGCTCGAGAACAGAAGTGGCGAACTGGTCATCATCGACATCAAGCGAAGCGGGCTCGTAGTGAAATCGCCAGATGGTCTGCAAGTCTCTCGACACTTCCTTCATGAGTGGTCTGTGCCTGGATTCGGGATTCAAGCATTTGGCAGCCACTCTCGCCACGCCCACCATTGACTCCTTCCCCTTGACAGACAGAAAGGTCTCGGAAAGAGCTGGATCAATAATCTCTTCCAACCTGCCACCGTCCAGCAGAGTGATTCCCCGTTTGGCCAGACTAGCCTCTCCATCATACCTGGTGTGGTCGATTGCAGGCCTGGCCGAAAGAAGCTCGAACAGAACTACACCGTATGCGTACACGTCGCTTTTGCCGCTCAGGCTCGCGCTTTTCCGAGGCTCCGGATCGACGTATCCCAGACGGCCCGTGCCCTGGCGACGACTCAGGTCCGCGGCCGGAGTCAGCTTGAATACGCCGAAATCCGCCACCTTCGCGTTCAGCTTTTCGTCCAAAAGGATGTTCGCTGATTTGACATTCAAGTGATGCACCGGAGGAGTGGTTCCCGAGTGAAGGTGGTCCAGAGCGTCCGCAGTCTGAACCGCAATCTGCAGGCGCTGTCTCCAGCTCAAAATAGCGTTGCCCATTCTTCTCTGAAGATGCTCCTGCAATGAGCCATTCGGAATGTACTCGAAGACCAGCAGACATATCTTGCTGGCCATGCAGCAGCCCAAAAGTCGGACCAGGTTGCGGTGCTGGACTTGGGAGAGGATCTTCACCTCACTGAGGAACCTGCATTTGTCCTCGTTCGTTCCCTCGCGAGTGCTCTTCTTGATGGCCACGGACGTGCCATTTTCCAGTGTTCCCAAATACACGGTTCCGAACCCTCCCTCTCCGATCTTGTAAGTCTCCGAGAAATCTTCGGTGGCCTTCTTGAGGTCGCGCAGCGGCATGATGGCTGCAGTCTCCCTGTCCAGCAATGCAGCTATCAAGTCTGCGTCGCGCTTTCGCTGCCTGGCATCCAGCTTCCATCGCCATATCCACCCAAGAGACAAACAGCTCCCACCCGATACGATCACACAAATGAGCGCAATTCCAAGGACCTCCCAGATCTTGATGCGTTTCGATTGGTCAGGGCACGGAGGCAGAGGACCACCGCACAGTTCAGGATTGCCAGAGTAGAAGGCAGGATTTGACAGGAACGGATTGATGAGAAATGAGGGAAGAGGGCCAGATAACTTGTTGCTGGATAGATTCAGATACACTAGGTTCGGCATGAGGGTGAATATGCCGGGCACGTCTCCTGTAAGATGGTTCCCGGATAGATCCAGATACTTCAACTTCGGCAGCATACGGTTGTTGAAGAGATCAGGGGAAATAAACCCTTCCAGATTGCTATCCCTGAGGTCCAAAATTTCAAGACTATCTAACATTGTCGAGGTGCTCGTTGGAAGGACAGTTCTCGACAAATTGTTGCTCCCTAACCGAAGCTCGCGCAGCTTGACATACGCGTCAAAAAAAATTCGCAAACCTGGATCGCCTTCACTCCACTGTAAATAATTGTGGCTGACATCCAAAACCTCCAAGTTGTTCCAGCTCGAATATCGAGCTGCAGATATTTCTCCAGTCAGGGAGTTGCTATCGAGTCGTATTTCCATCAAGTTTGGCATGTCACTGAGACCGGCAGGAATAATACCATGCAGAAGATTGCTAGATAGATCTAAAACCTCCAGAGAAGGAAAGTTGCTGCTCGCTAGCTGATCAAGACTAGCCCCTACTGTAAAGTTGTTCTTGCTTAACCGAAGTTCCTTCAAAGATACGAACTTTGCCGCCATGAAATGGTCTAGGCTGCCACTCAACCGGTTACTCTGTAAGTTTAATACTTCCAAAGAGTCCAAAACCGATAAATTCGACATCGTGGGAGTGACCAGCGTTTCAGGTATAGGGCCTTCCAACAGATTATAGCTCAAGTCCAAGGATCTCAGATTTCTCGGCCAGGAATTCCCAGCTTCATTGCTCGGAAGGATGATCCCACTTAGGAAGTTGCTAGAACAGTTCAAGTAAGAAGTGACATCATTGTGCAGCAATCCACTAGGTATGGTCCCGGTCAGCAGATTGCGGGAGAAATCCAAAGTATCTATCCGCCATGCTCCTTGAGGTATCTCACCTGTGAACCTGTTGAGAGAGAGGTTCATATAATAGGCACCAAGATCACCTTCACTGACTCTTGACCCAGCAATTGCTAGGGCTGGCGGCAAACGCCCCTCCAATTGGTTGTCGGAGACATCCAAGATGTACAAGGAGTTGTCAGTCCATCGTAGAACAACAGCACTATCGAGTCCTCCGGTGAGGTTGTTTCCATGAATATCCACCTCTTCAGGTTCGAGCACGCTCCCTAAATTCCCAATATCACCAGTGAGCTCGTTGGATTGGAGCAAAATACGCTTTAACCTCGTAGGCAGCTCGGGGATGGATCCATTGAAGGAATTTCTATGCAGCCGTAATTCGCTGAGTCTGGTCAACAAACTCAGCGTGTCTGGTACGGGACCAGAAAAAAAATTGTCAGACAAGTCCAGAGTATCAAGACTAACTAATGCACCAAGATGGCTGATACTGGAGTCGGAGCCTGAGAGATGAAGGCCGTGAAGATCAAGGCTGTGAATACTAAGACTACCCGTATCCGAAGGTTCACATGCCACCCCTCTCCAGGGCTGACTTGCGTTACACAGGTCCGATCCCTTCACCCAAGAAACGAGCTCGTGTCGTCTGTCGATGGCACTCTTTTTGAATCGTTGAAGGAATTCTCCGTCTGTTTGCGAGTCAGCGACAGCCAATTGGGACTGGAACACGACAATCATCAACGAACCCCACAGCAGACATGAGGACCATGCAGGTGTTGGAGACAGCATCCTGGTGTTCGGAGAGTGCGTACATGCCAGGCGAAGTGAACAAATTGTTCCTTCACTTCTTCACGCAGAGAGGCAGTTGGCCCAAATCCGCGCAGCAGGTCCACATTTGGCTCCGACCTGGAAGAAAATGTGCCCATTGTGGCATCAGATGCTGTGGTAGGTTCTTAAACATATGGAACGTCAATCAAGAGCACGATACGTTGGAACCTGAATGCATCAATTCAAAGATGTATCGAGTAAAATCGGGAGTCCAACTTGAGGCCAGATGCAGCTGGCCTCAAATTTTGAGGTGAAGCTACACTCAAGACACTCCAAACAAAGGGACTGCTTCTGATATTGGTTGTCTCCAACGTACAGCGTGACATCTACATTTGCCTAAGACACGACTATCTCCTATCAGATAGGGAAAGCCACTGAACAGGTGTGGATATAAACGCCATGCATTACCTCAATTAGACAGCTAGCTGTGAGCTGAGACCTGTGATTGGCAGTGAAGTACTCAGTGCTCCGAGCAGCCTTGAAGAGAATTTTGAACATGTCTGTTCGTCTCAAAGAGAAGTCGACTGCATACATGTACATTTGCAGGCGAAATGTCCACGACACAGGAGACTACCTGAGTGCATCACAAGCAGCAAGGTCCAGAAAGTAAAACAATTCACCTACTGTGCGTCTTCGCCAGACTGAACGGCTTGGGCGCGAGAAGCCGTGCAGCGTTCAGGGTAAACGAAGGTTCGGTGGTGAAGGACTCTGTAGGTCTTTTGTACTGCACAGCTCAAAAAAGATTTGCCAACTATGGCTTGGGCGCTCCATGTGAGAATGTCCAACGAGAGGAGGAAGGCAGAGGAGAAAGGGTTGATAGGCATTCGGTCTAATAACTAGAATCGGCTGGTCCATGTGATATTTCGTTTTCATCTGTCAGCCTAGTTTTGTTCTCTCTGTCCCTTGTCCCTCTTCCCTTCTATTGAGGCGGACACTGAAATAAATGCACTCATTCATGACTGCTTTAGTGCGTACAGTAGGACTGGAGTTTGTCAACTAATGTTACGAGGAAAATCATTACATCTGCAATCAGGACACTCGAAAACAAGTTCCGAAAACTGCTTTGCCTAAGAAAAGGTCATGAACGGTTCCTTACAAGTAGCTCAGGCAGACATCAATACCTGGAAGAGAAATATCAGTTCGTGGGCCGTCATGGCACCGCCTTACAACAATAGGTAATTGGAAGGAGCAGGTCGAGCTTTGGGGTAAAGTTCGTTAAAGGTAAATCAGTGCCAGAAACAGATAGTGCTGAAAGAAGGCGGCCAGCGCTTTCTCATGATAGTTTGTTAAAATGCAACAGTGGAACTGCAACCCGATATAATCATAGATAGATCTCTTGTCGGCAAAAAGTAATTTCCCTTCAGAGCGTGTCGGAAGAATAATCCAGGTGGGACCCAGGTATGTCAAGGGGATTTGAAGGTAAGCGCCATCTATAGCAGTTGGGCAACCGAGGATTGAAGGTCGTGGTTGTCCACCACAACGTGAGTCCTTCAGAAGTTGGGGCGACTGGAGAAGATCTCTTGACATTGCCGGTCGAACAACTCTGTGAAATAAAAGCAACGGAATAGCTTTGTCGTCTTGTCCAACACGGCGATAGCGTATTCAGCAGAATGTTCAGGCTACGATACGAGTACGCTACTTGCTCTGCATCACTATTATTGGTCAGAGAGGTGGTTCAAAATACTGCAAAGCTCAGCGACAGAACCGGGGTTTGAAAACTCGAAGGCTAAATTAACCACAATTCCCATTGGGGTGCATCCCACTGTGATGCTTTTCGGGCCTAGCTCCATGTTTCCCGTTTGGTTTCATCCCTGTATGACTAGATGTTGTCTTCCCATCCGTCTTGCTGTATTACTCGGTGCCCCTGGAGGGCAGGCATATCGCAGAGGATTTACCACAATCAGCAGAATGGGCTTCTGAAGACACACGCAAGCTGTCTGGATGGCCGCTGGTCTACCCCTTCCGGCGGCTGCTTTACAATTCTTCGCAGACATTTCAACTTCCCTGTGGATGGTCAATCGGTCTATCAGTTTCCGCACCACGTATTTCTTACGACAGGACACACAGCCTCGTCAGTACTGCAGGCCTTTTGGCTGTTGCGTGTGAACATTCACTTATCGCATTTTCTTCTTCTTCCATGGTTACAATCGTCAAACGTCAGAGAGTGTCGTAAGTCCCGAACAGCTTCAACAAAATACCCGATACCATATTAAAACAAGTCTCAGTTTACGTTGCTGCTACTGGAGATGTGGCCCCTTGCAGAGGAAGTCTTAAATTGTTCAGATTAGTTAATTGGACATGAATTGTGAGGTACGGATCTGGGATACTTTCTCTTGCTTCCTAAAGTTGAAGGTTAGGCAACCTCTGTGATCGAAATTTCAATCCAATAATCTCAATCAGGAGGTCTTTTAACTGCTAAAGTCCTCTGCCTGCTGGTTGATTCTCATAAGTCGAAGAGGATGTAATTACAAAGTTTGCTCTTTGAAATTTTGCCCAAGGATAGTTCGCAGGGAGATTACATCCAAATCGTATGAGATTGACTTGAGATGGGTGGAAACCAACGATCCATAGATTTTCTCTCTGATGTTCATCTGCTCATAGACCATTCGTAGCTTAAAGTCCCTCGATGACCTAGAGGCCACTACGAAAGGTTTGGCACCAGAGCTTTGCAATCTGATGACTTGCAGTGGACGAATTCACATTCTTTGACTGGGACTCGTAGGAGACCTCTCTGTCTAAAGAGACGTCCGCCCCAGTTTTGTCGACCTCTTCTGAGTTATCGTGTGGTCTGGAATCTGTAAGATATCAACAACCGTACATCTGACGGTCTGGTGGACATATAGCTTCATGTCAGAATTGTAGCTACACCTTGAAGCACCATACCGTGATGTCGAATAGACATCATCAGGTCTTCAAGTAGAGCCTTTCACTGGAGATTGACTGTACGTGGCTGTAACTCAAAACCCATCCACACATCGTCCAGGACAAAAAGAAACCACCCCTACATCCACATGCTTTAGCAATTGCTGCACGCTTTTCAAGCTTTTTTTTCTGGTTTCTGCTTTTCCCCTCATCCACAGTCATTATCGATTCACTTTCACTCAAAGCTGTTCAGAATGTACTTGCAAATATATTATGGCACCTCTTTATGCTATGTCTCAGTACGCATGTCAAGGTTTTTGATGTCAGAGTAATAGGCTTCTGGAGGGGAGAGAATGATCACATTAATTACGAGAGCTACCCCATGCCTGTCAAATTGTAGACACCTTCTAATTACGGCAACAATAGACAGCCCTCAACCCCTCCGCCTCTCTACATTTTCCTTAGCAACTTTAGGATCCTACTATTGTCGCGCATAGATTATGATGAACCTCGATGTCAAATTGTAGGCACCTTGTACTTACGACGACAATACCCTGTATCACTGCCTCCGCCACTTGAATTTTCTATGAGTAACTTTAGGATTGTAATAACCCACCAAAGGCTAAAACTGCAGTATGGTGGTAAAAAGATCGAACCCACAGGGACAGAGGCAACACACAGAGTAAAAGTGTCACGTTTAACAGACTTTTGGTAGAGTTTGAATTCTAGGCGACTGTCACTCCCAGAATTACTGCAGTGCTCGACTCGGAGGCTCGACTCGGAGGAGGATCTCAACTCGGAGGATGCTCGGAGGATGCACGGTACAGCGTGGTCACTCAACACACACACACACCCACACCTGAAACTGGCAAAAAGCACAACTCGGAGGTCGGTCAGGACCTCCGCTTCGGATTTCAGGAGGAAAGTGTCTCGCAAGTTCACTCAGAGGTTCTGCAGGAAGTGCCTCCCACTCCGGCTTTTACTGCCCTTCCGCCAGGAACTAGCGGGGGTACCCGGACTGGACTTCTCACTTCGGAACGAAGCCTCTACGTACGCCGTGGACGTCACCCTCGACTATCACACAAAACGCAGGGAGTGCAGACCCGACTGAGAACTTACTGAAAACACGATCCAGTAACACACACACAACCTGAATTACAAACCAAGGTTTACACGAAGTAATGAAACTTCACATTGGCATTCAGGGGAAACTTCCCGTAGGAGTACAATCAGGATATGTCACTCGAAGGAGTAAGGGGGAACTGTTCAAGTATCTAACTCGCAGCCGGCTCTGAGTATCAGAAATCACCCGCAGGTGCAGATCCGCACTACTCAAGTCTCTAACCGGGTACTAGCTCTGAACATTCAGCCGAAGGCCTTCAACTACAACATACGGTAACTTCGCTATGCTGCAGCTTCTCTACGTGGTGCCAGGACCAAAATGCACAAACACGCCAAGAAAGTGAGTTCCTGATCTGCACTTCCGAAACTGGAAGAGTCCCAAGGCAAAACGCCTTGATCTACTTTATACCCTCAAAAGATCCTAACTAGCACTACGCTATCCTATCTACCACTCGCAGTATCTGCGCGAAACCAAACTACTCTACTGCACTCAGCAGATCCGGTGCTGCGCCTCCTGCGCGCCGGACTGCTCCGCGTACTATCTCTACCTTGCCAGTCTTCCGACCGGCTGCGTAACCCCAGGCGTCGGAGCGCTGTGGTGACTTCCGACTGCAAGTGCGCCATAGTGTCGCGCGCACCCGACAAGAAGGTTTCTAATTTTCTCGCCACTCGCCGCCGACTCCGACTGTCACCTTCCGTCAATGCCGCCGCCCGAAGCTCGAACTCCCTGAGTGTGATCCTCTCTTGGGCTGCCACCTCCCAATGGGTGTATCCTTTTAGACAACGAGTCACCTGTGCCGCCAACTCTCCTCGCGCCCTGCAGCTGCTCTCCACCTCTGCCAGCTGCATTTCTAATCCCGCACGTTGTGCCCTTAAATCCGAGCACTCGGATTGCAAGTTGCACAACAGCTCCTCATCCTCCTTGCGGGCTCTTTGACTTTCTTCTAAGGCGCGCGTCTGGCGCGCAAGCTCGGCTGCTAGGACTTTGTTCTGTCTCCGCTCCTCCTGCAGTTCCAACTCGATCTTTGCCCGTATTAGTTCGGCATCCGCCTGACTTTTCGTCGCCGCATCCTCCTTCTGCTGCTGCAAGGCTTGGTATAGCTTCTGGGTGACCGCCAGGTGTTGTTTGAGGGCGGTGTTCCTTTCCACATATACTTGGCAACTAGAGGCCCACTTTGCCACCTTGATCCTCGTCCTTCGCCTGATAGTCTCCACATAAGACTGCGGTTTTAAGGCACTTCCGTATTTGGATGTCTTGCGATCCAGATATCGCAGGAGTGGAACTATCTGTTCGCACAGCACCCCTGTTGGCGTTTTCTGCACCGAATCCGCTTCCTGCTCTTCCGAGCTCGTATCATCCTCAGTCTCGAGGATTTCAGTCGCCACCGAATCCCTTGGCGACTCCCTGGAACTGTGGCGCGCAGCAGCTTCTGCTGCGACTGCTGCTCCACTGCCTGCTAAAATATAACCAGGGCAGTGGGAGATCCCACTGCTTGAGCCCCTGTTCCGGCTCGATCTTCGGTTTGTGAAGGGGTCGACGCCGCAGTGACTTTTGTCACTCTTGCACCGCCCGCTTCTGCTGCCTGTCCTTCCGGCGCCATCTGCGCGGAAGGTGTCCTTGCTGAAGGTGCGTCCGCCGAAGGCGTCCGCACACTGGTCGTTGGCCCCATCCGTCTCGCAGTCGGCGAATCCGGCTGACTCTCTGTTGTCCGACTCGCAGTCGGCCGACCAGCAGTTGTCCGACTGGGAGTCGGATACACCCTGCGCGTCTTGACTCCACTTGGCCTGCTTGTTGGGGGCGTTCTTCCAGAAGTGCCTTCCGCCGAAGACGACCCTTTGAGGATTGTTGGCTCGTCAGCCAAACTCTCTTCTGCTTCCGGCCTGCTGTCCGGTTCAACGCGCCGTTCAGTTGGCCTTCCTTCCGCTTGTCGACCTTCAGTCATCCGACTCGCAGTCGGCCGGCTGTCAGTCCGTCCATCTCCTCCCGAAGGCCGTGGTGCCTTCTGTGCAGAGGTATCTGCCGTCTTCCCTAGAATCTGAGCGATTATCTCTTCCTGTGTGAGATTCCGCCGGGTCGGAGTTCGCCTGGTCTCCTCAGTAAC